CTCAGGTGTAGGTGGTGGATGGGTAAGGGATCGCATCTCAGTCAGGCACTTTGTCAGTCCTGGCCTTGCTCTCACAACTATTTCGTCTTTCGAGCCTTGCGTTACCTCTTTTATCTCACCTCCCTAGCAGCTCACAGTCACCCGCGCCAAAAACACGGCACTTGGGTGGGCCACCGTCTTGGGGTGTGACAGGCGAGCGGCTGACAGTGGGGTACTTGTGTGGACGTGCTCTGATCTCTCCGCCTATGTTGCCAGTGTTTCGAGCTCTGCTAAGACCCTGCCTTGTGGCTGGTGCTATGGTTAATGCGTGCCCTCCTCGTTTGGCTAGCCCCGTGGTGGTATACAGATAACCCCCAGCTTATCCGCCAGTTTCGAGCCGAGCTGGAATCACGTCCGCTGAATGAGCTTGCATTCCATAGCCGTCTGACCTCCAGAGTTGCGCCACAGCAGGCCTGACTTTCACGTGGATCAGTTTTGCTGCAGACAGCCTCTCTTGGACCATGGATGTGTGTCTGTCGGCCACCTTCAGTTTCCAGGAGTATCCGATGGCCGCAGTTTTAGGTGATTTTGTAGTATGGAGGGAACGTTGGGGGATTGGTCGAGGTGTTAGCAGCGGGGCAGGGTAACAGCAAGCAGAGAGAGCGGCAGCCCGCCTCTTTTGCTCTTTCATCGCTTCGGCCTGCCTGCAGTGCCGGCCCGCCCTCTTGCCCTCTCTCCCTCTGGAACCAGATTTTTCAAATAATGACAGCAGTCGTATTGCGCAATGGTTGCCATCTCGAGCGTCAGCCTTGTCGGCCGAACCGAGGGTCGATCCGTGAGGGGAGGGGCCCATAGTGGGCGCTCCGAAAGGAACTCGCGAAGCCCCCGCCCCACAGCGGCTCTCGCCGAGGTAAAGTCGTTGAGGTCAGCGGCTTTGAGAGCCACAGCGGTCGTGAAGACCGCAACACGTAGTCGGGAGAGGGCTGGGATTGGTAGGTCGGGCAGTTGGAGGTATTAGCAGCGAGGCAGTGCAGCAACAGTCAGAGAGAGCGGCAGCCCGCCTCTCTTGCTCTCTCTTGTGCACGGCCTGCCTGCATGTGCTGTCCCGCCCTCTTGCCCGTTCTCTCTCTGAGACTAAATTTCAGACGGTGCGTAACAGGTTTCACTGAAAGCAGTTGACGCGCGCAACTGTCGCCAGCTCGAGTGTCAGCCTGGTCGGCCGAACCGAGGGTCGAACCGTGAAGGGGGCGGGCCATAGTGGGCGCTCCGAAAGGAACTCGCGAAGCCCCCACCCCACAGCGGCGCTCGCCGAGGCAAAGTCGTTGAGAGCAGCTGTTTTGAGAGCTGACAGCGGTCGAAGGGATCGCAACATGTATTCGGGAGGGGGTTGGGTATGTCAGGTTGGGCGGACGTGCTGAGATCAGAGAGGCATGTGCCTGCCTCTCTTGCTTCTTTCCGCCGCCGCCTGCTTGCCACCCGCTCGCCTGCTCTCTCTCCACCGTCAACCTGGACAGAGGCGCGCCCCCTCGCGTTTCTGTCACCGCCCGAATGTCAAGCTTCAAGCCTTGGCCCGTGGGGGGCAGCGGCAAGGGGCTCGGTGAGCGTAGTCCGTCGCTAACCACACACCCTCTTGCAGATAAGGATGGGAGTGGGAGTGGCTGGTAGCCGTGTGGAGGGGTTAAGTCAGCGAGTACATCTCTGTGAAGCGTGCCTTTCTGGCGCTGCCAGGGATACGCCGAGAGCAGCCGTGCAGGATTGCCCACCCTGTCCGCCGCCACTTCCTGGCCACGGCTAAAAATTTCAATCCTTTGCCGCCTAGTGCCAGACGCTCTGCGTCCACATGGCTGCCTCGCACCCAGTTGCGCGCGTAGTTAATACTATGGGACTGGGTGAGATTCGTGGGGTTAGGCAGGTTGGTTGGAGGAAGTTACTGTCTGACTTGACTTCAGGTGCCCGTGCAGAGTTTGCGAGTTTCGCCTCTTAGCACAGCCACACGAGTTGACTGTGCTGACTGCCTCTGCTAGCTGCAGCGCCGCCATTAGCTGACAGGCCATACGCTTCATCAGCAGCGCAATCCAAAAAATCCTCGCGCCCCACCCTGGGGCCCGAGCTCTGTCCCACGGAAGGCATCGCCCACCCTGGGAGGACTCCGAGGATCGGGGATCGGACCACCTCCCCAGACCCCCGATGTCGTGATTTTTTCACAACGTCGACCCCCAGAGGTCTGACCCCTTCCCCGGGACCGGTTCTTCGTCCTCAGTCGTTTTTTGACGCTCCCGAGGCCCGGGGAGGGCCCCCGGAGGCCGAAAATAGCCAAAAACCTCCCGTCGTGATTTTTTCACGACGCCAGGAGGTCTGGGTCGGGAGGAAGGCGCCGCCACCTCGGGAGGAAGGCGCCGCCCACCCCTGGAGGCACACCCGTGGCCCGCCTCGCGCACCGCCGCCAGCGCCGCCGCCAGCGCGGCGCCCACCAGGGCCGTGCGCAGCGGCCGCCGCTGGGCCACGACCTCCGCCCAACCGCCGAGGACGCCGACGACGAGGACGAGAATGACGACGACAACGACGGCGACGACAACGACGGCGACGATGACGAGGACGACGACGCCGCAGACGACGACGGCGGCGATCTGCCCCGAGGTCCGCACCTTCGCCGCCGTCGTCGTCGTCTTCCTCCTCCTCCTCCTCCCCCTCGTTCCCTCCCTTCTACCCCTCCTCTCCGTCCTTCCGTCCTTCCCCTCCTCCCATGTCGGAGTCGAGGTAACATTTCTCAAGTCCGGGAGTGTTGATGAGCACTCGTCTGCCACACTGTTGCCTCGCTCCCCTGCTGTTTGGGCCCTAGTCTGTTTCAAGAGCGCCAGGAGTGCGCCGCGGAAAAGGCGTAGCCTCCCTCTCGTCTTGTGGGGCCTGGCGCGCCCCAGATCCAAGGGCCAGGGCCCCAGCTCGAACTCTCGCAGTATTACCTCCCCTCTCCTCCGCCCCTCTCCTTTCTCCCTTGGCCGGTGGGGGGGACACAATCCGTCGAAGCCGCACCCTCCCTCCTACTCCTCGCCGGGCACGCGGACGCACCGATGGAAGCATGGGGCAGGAGGTGGAGCAGGAGGAGGAGCACGAAGAGGTGTAGGAGGAGGAGGAGGAGGAGGAGGAGGAGGAGGAGGAGGATGAGGAGGGGCAAGACGAGCACCCGAGCGACGAGAAAAAGCGGATCCTGCGCGAGGTGGCACAACGCCCTGACGCTGTGACTTATACGCGGGCCGTCAGCGCGCGGCGCGCCACGTCGGAGGCGACGGCGCCCACGCGCGGCCTTACGGGGCAGCTCACGCGCAAATGTCGGCGCAGTCGGACCCGCGCTTGCTGCGCCGCGCACCCGCCTGCACAGAGACAAGAGATAGGGCGCCCCACGCTCCCCGCCGAGCGCGTCATGGCGTCGGGAGAGCGCGGGGGTTACAACACCGGCACACGTGCCAGGATAAAGCGCTCAGGCAATCTTGATCCAAACGGCGGCACGGCAACAACGACTATTACGACAGCGCGAGAAGGCAGGGGTTGGAGTCGTATTCGGCCCCCCCCTCTTTCGATGCATGTGCTCGTGACGAGAAGAGAGAGAGAGAGAGAGAGAACAAAATAGAGAGAGAGAGGGATCATGCAAAGAGCGAAACGCCCGTGCGAGACAATGAAATGAAGAGAAACACGATGACTGACACCATGTCGCCCGCCGCCGCATAATCCATAGTGGCATCGCTTCGGGGTGCCAGAGGAAGCTCGAAGACGCGCCCTCGCGTGGTTAGGAAGAGACAGGAGAAGGAGGCGGCGGAGGAGGGAGCGGAGGAGGGGAGTACCAGGGGGACGGGGAAGGGGGGGCGAGACAGGGCGGGGAGAGGGGCATAGGGAAGGGCGACGGGGAGACGGGGAGGACGAGCGGAGAAGGAAGGCGGAGGGGGGGGGGGGCGGGGAGAGGGGCCAGCCACGCCCTGCACCGCGTCCGACATCCCCGCCCTGCTTCCCCCGCAGCTTGCCACCCCTCGGACGTCCGTTCCCCGTGCCCTCTGCGGCTCCGCGCGCGCGCGCGCCTCGCCAGGATGGCTCCCCGACGACCCTCGCCGAGAGCAGGTGCCCGCGCCCGAGCGACGCCGAGCGCACCGCTTCCCCCCCCCCGACACCCCCCGAGCGAGGTCCGCTCGGCCGCTCCGGGATGCTCCGGGGATGCTCCGGAGGAGGAGGGGGAGGAGGAGGAGGAGGAGGAGGAGGGGGAGGAGGAGGAGGAGGAGGAGGAGGAGGAGGAGGAGGAGGAGGAGGAGGAGGAGGAGGAGGAGGAGGAGAGGAGGGGGAGGAGGAGAGGAGGAGGAGGAGGAGGAGGAGGAGGAGGAGGAGGAGGAGGAGGAGGAGAGGAGGAGGAGGAGGGGAGGAGGAGGGGGAGGAGGAGGGGGGAGGAGGGGAGGAGGAGGAGGAGGAGGGGAGGAGGAGGAGGAGGAGGAGGCCGAGGGCCCGCGCAGGGCGGACGATGCCAAGGCCACGTCCGGCCTGCGCCTGCCCCCCCCCAGGCCGCGCGGCAGCGGGCGCGGGGCCGAGGAGGGGGGGGCCCCGAGAGGCCCGGCGGTGCGGAGGCTCCATGGACCGCCCGTGCCACGACAGGGGGCCACGCAGGCACGAGCAGGCCCGCGGGAGGGGGGGAGGGGGCCCCCAGAGGGAGAGCAGTGGGCGCGCGCAGTCGCACGGAGAGGGCAGCGGGGGAGAGAGGAGCCGGGAGCTGGGCCACGCAGCTTCGCGCAGCGCGCCCCGCGATGCGGATAACCGTCGCGCCCTCGCGCCGCCCCCCTTGGAGGAGGGCAGCCGCTCTCTCTGGCAGAGAGGGAGTGCGAGAGAGAGAGAGAGAACAACAAAAAACAAGAGATGGAGAGTGCCTGATAGAGAGAGAGGAAACGATGATACATAGAGAGGGATAGAGAGAGAGAGAGAGATAAAAAGAGAGCGACAGAGAAAGAGCGAGAGAGAGAGAGAGAGCGAAAGAAGGGGTTGGAGATTGTGGGTGCGGTATTTACGGGATTCCCCCGCCAAGAACAAATGGAAACTACGGCACTGGGCGTCCACAAAGCGCCGCTTGGGGAAAGCAGCTCGACTAGTCACTCGCATCCCGCGGAACCACGACGACGTGCCAGAGCTGCGACTACGGGGTGAGACCCAAGAGGTGAGCAGTGCTCCGCATGAAGGTGGTCACTGTTGGCCAGCCCTGACCACACAAGCAGTGCAGCTGCGTCTCCTGGCTATTATAAATCAGCGCGTGGAGGGATGTCTTAAAAACTCGTATGGGAAGTACCACGATAGGCCCTGACCTGACACGCAATGCTACTGTGCGCGTTGGCCCCGGAAGGCCCTTCGGCTTCGCGGACCAGCATGAAATAACGAAACCGTCGTCATGCACCTCTTGGCGCCTAGGCCGCAGAAACTGCGTCCAGGGAGCGGCGCGAGTCCGCTGCCACAGTCGGTCACACAAACGAATTCTTCATTCATCCGGCTGAAACTGAGAGGCAAATGTCACGCGTGGCCTCTAGACATCGTGTGCACAGCGCTCGATAGTGTATGCCGCACGGTCATTGACTACATCTAGGTACTATCCGCTGGCGCCCTGGCGGGCGCAGCTCTTCGTGCTGCCTGTCGTGCCCTGTCTCCTGTCTCCAGGTCATACATACCTCCATTACACTGTCTACCAGGGGGGTCGGCGCGGACACACACACACACACACACACACACACACACACACTTCGGGATTGAACATCTTCGGGGCTGCGATTATCTTGTACAATATTTGGGGTTGGACATTCTTGAGCCCTCTTGGTACCGCAGTCCCACAGCTTGCGCAGCGCAAGCCGACTCCCAGGTAACAATATACACACACAAACACATACACACACAAACACACACACACACACACACGCACACACACACAAACACACACACACACACATAATAAACAAATAACTTGTGTGGGGCAGTCAGCCTGCGGGCCGCTCTGGGTTCCTGCAGGCTGGGAGCCCTGCGGGGGCGCCACCTGACAGCCCAGGCGGTCCCCAGTGGCCCCCAAGATGTCTCTCAGATGGCCAAGGAAGGCCAGAGAGAGCGAAAGGACTGAAAAGCCGTGGTACTTTTGATGTTTCTTGCCTGTCCCATGTTCTGCTCCTCGGGTGTCCGAAGATCGCTTCAAGCTGGCTCCCAGGAGCCCCAGATATTGCCCACGACTGCCCCGAGGTAGATTTCCCAACCAGCCCGAAGACGCCTCCGAGATACCCTCCAAGTGGGCCGCAGGGGAATGCTGCCCAGCACGTGCCGAGGATGGACCGAGAAGCCCCGAGGTGCCAGACGGACCGAGACGCCCCAAGATGCCCCCGAGAAATGCCCCGGGATGGCCCCCCAAACGGTCGCGGCATCGCCACGGGGCGATGGCTCAGCCTGGCGGGGGGGGGGGGGGGGGGGGCGACGGCGGCAGGCGCAGCGCCCGTCGGATGCATAAAAAGAACGCCGCAGTGGTGGGCAGAGCAGGGCGAGACGTCCTGCATCGTGCCGAGGCGTGCTGCGAGGCGTGCTGCGAGGCGGCGTGGGCGGGGCGCTGTTCCACAGCCCCCACCTCAAGCCGCCAAGGCTAGTGCAGAAGTTTTTCGACGGGCTCTAGGGCGAGGCAGGGGAAAAGACCACGCGGTCGAAGCCAGCGAGCCCTTTGGCTTCATCGCGCCGAGCTCCAACATCCACCCCCACGAACCAGACGGGTCTCCGCGTCGTCCGTCGAACCTGCCACGGGACTGGCCGCCGGTCTGGCCATCGGACCGGCCCTCGGAGTGGCCACCGAGGAGTCCCAGCGAAGAGGCCGTCGTGCTGGCGGCAGGGCTGGCCGTTTGGCTGGCCGCCGGGCGGGCCGTCGGGCATGCCGCCGCGGTGGCCTTGGTGCGGGCTGCCGAGCTGGCGGTCGGGCTGGTGAGCGCTCGGGCTGCGGCTCTGGCCGCCCACGCGGCACCCCTCGCCCGCGTGGCCCCTGCCGTCGCGGCAGGCCCTCGGGCTCGGAGGCTGCTCGGAGGCTGCTCGGGCCGCCACGCACGACCTCGGCGACCCCGTGCTGGCCAGCGCGTCCGAGCCCGAGCCCGAGCCCGAGCCGCAGGGCGAGCCCGAGCTCGAGCAGCCCGAGCCGCAGACCGAGCCCGAGCAGCCGAGGCTGCGGCCGAGGCCGCAGCCCGGGCCCGAGCCCGCGGCCGCGGGCCCCGGCGGCGCCGCGGCCCCTCCGGGCGCCGCGGGGTCGGAGGGCGCCGGGGACTGCGCGCGCCCGCCGGGCGGGCGGTGGTGGGGCGCCGGCGGGGCCGCCAGCGCCTGCAGCCGGGACTGGAGGGCCGTGCGCTCGGCGATCTCGTGGATCAGCTGGGCCTGCAGGCTGCAGATCTCGCGGTCCTTGAGGAGCCGCTCCGCGAAGTCGCCGCGGGGGCTGGGTCCGCCACCGCGCCTTCCGGCACGCTCGTCGGTTGTATGGCAAGGCCCGCGTAAGGTTCTGGGGCCGACCCACCCCCCTACCTCTACCTACCGTCGGCGGCGAGCGAAGGGGGGGAAGGGAGAAGGGGCGGGCCTTCTCAGAAGGCTCGGAAGTCCCCTCGGCCTTCTGAGAAGTTTTCCAAGCCTTCCCCGAAGACCCGAACAACTTCTCAGAAGGCGCGAGGGCTTCTGAGACGTCCCGCCGCCTTCTCAGAAGGCCTTCTCCTTCTCATTTCTCCCCTCGCTCGCCGCCAATACTAGCGACCGCCGTTTGACCTTCCCGGCACCCTGTTGCTCCCCAGCGCTCGTCCTTGTCGGCCTCTGGGCGATTCCCAGATAGCCAAAGATCGCTCTCCCAAATCGGTGCAAGACGCTACACTGCAAATTCTAAGGCGGCTCAGCGAGCCTCCAAATCCTCCAAGGTCGGCCTGAGATGCACCAAGAGGCCCTAAGAAGCCCTCGAGAGACATCCAAAGGGGTCCCCGATGAGGCCCTCAGCGGCGACAACCATGGAACAAAAATACAGTCGGACCTAGGCCAGAAAAATATCCCTCAAGAACATGAGCCCCTCCGCAGGCCCAAACACACACAGAACATCCACGGGTACCCTCCGCAGGATGCACACGAACATCCAGCAAACGCGAGGAACATCAGGGCACCCTCCCCGAACCGACCTCGCTCCCATGCCTCGGCCCGACCGTACGATCGATCGACACGCGTTGCCTCCAAAGCTTTTCGGTCGCAGATCGCCCCGAGAAAGCTCCAGAGTGCTCCAGGAAGCCCCGATGGGGACGGCCGAAGACTGCCCCAGGAGCGCCCCCAGACGGGCCCCGGGGCTGCCCGAGACGCTCGACAAGAGGGTGCAGCCGAGCCTCTCCAGGAGAGCTCCGCGGAACCCTCGCGCCCAAGACGGACGGTCCCGAGACGCCCGACGGGCCCCCAACAGGCCCCCGAGAGGGCTCAGAGAGTCTCACTGTGAGCCTCCAGCGCGCCTTCGACGGTAGGAACGGGGATAGAGGGGAGGAGGAGGAGGAGGAGGAGGAGGAGGAGGAGGAGGAGGAGGAGGAAAAAAGAAGAAGCTGGGGTCCGAGCAGATGGGGTCCGAGCAGATGGGGTCCGAGCAGATGGGGTCGGAGCAGATTGGGTCGGAGGATCGCGCCGCATCGCCAATACGTCGGACATCGGCGATACAGCGGCGCCGTCGGCGTGGAGAGGCTCGGGCTCCAAGTCGAGACGCGTCGGCGATGCACTGACCACGCGGCGCGCTCCTGAGACTCGGCGGTGGACAAACCTCCCTTTAGTAAACCTCCCTTTCGTGAAAACGGCCTGGGGCCGAAACCGACGGACCTGGACCCGCAAGAATGACGGCCGCGACGCCCTCCCGCGAACCGAAAACGGCCGAGTCACGAATCGACGTGCCAGGGTAGGAGGTCTGTCCACCCCCGAGAGGCCCCGCCTGCTCGGACGGAGAGGCGGCGCCCGAGGCCAGCACGGGCCCGGACGGGGGCGCGGG